TTTTGCTCGCCAGCAGCATCATGCTGCCAAACATTTTAAGCTAGTGCGCGGCATTCGCACACTTGGATTGCCTGTGCAAACTCCTGGAGTGTTGCGTTGTCTCTTTGATGGAAATTTGGACTTAATTTACTAAGGTAGATAAAAAGTTAGCAGCTAGTAGTGCCTCAGCTTACGGACGGTTATGGCCCCCTGCTGCTTCGAACGGATATCCGGCTGAGACACGACCACGCGTTGGGCCGTGCGAGGACCTGGTCCGGCAGGCGGGGCCGTCCCACTAGCGCCGTGCTCTTTTAATTAATCGTTCTCTTTTCTTTTGCTCCTCAGGAGAACAGCCCTGGCCATGAAGTGCTCGACACGGTGTTTCGCCACCTCAACCTCCTGGAGACGGCGTACTTCGGGCTGCGGTACCTGGACAACGCTAACCAGCCTGTAAGTTGACTCTTGTCACGGTGGAACCACTCCCGCCATTTTGCTCGCGGTTAATTAATAATACAAGTATTAACGCCAGACGGTGACTCGCCCCGGCGACCGCGCCCCGCGCATGCGGGACATGCGGGCCCTCTTGCCTCACGCCGGGCTCCAGACGGAGGCGCGTAGGCGGAGGTAGAGCAGGGTCGGGACAATGGATCGTTTTCAGTGAAAGTGGTTCGGTACCCACCTGCTGTGCGAACAACCCAACCACTTTGAGACTGTACGACAATTCGCCTTTTTCTTAAACGAGATTATGTATTCCGATACCGGTAAATTGGCGTAAATAACTTTCCAAAGTTTCAAGGTTTAGTGAAAGCAATAACGGACACACTAATGTCGGGGAAAAAGTCGACGAGGGAGAAAAGTGGAGACCGAAGGGTAGAGGGGGGGGGGCGCTTTGCGGTATCACCCTACAAGGCCCGCGCGATTTGCGCCCTCCGTGAAAAATGTGTTTACGTGCGTAAAAGTTTGGTGTCTATCAGGCCGGAGTAGGGCGTGGCGGCCAAACTTAAAGAGTGTGTCTCCATTGCATCGTATCACGACGGGGCCATCTACCCCCTCCACCCTCTCCTCGAGGGAGCGTCTCGTTATCGCGCGGAGAATTTGGGAGAAATGACGAGGGTGCAGCAACAGGGACGG